GAAAGAAAGAAAGAATTTGGGAAAAAGAAAGGAAGGATATGGCTGATCATAGAATATATTCGCTGTGAGTCGGAAGCATTGGATTAAATTTCTGTTTTATTTATTTATTTATCTTTCTTTTTATATCTAACTAGTTTTCTCTTTATTTAACATTTTACTTTAGCCTAACGCCTATATGGTTAATGAAATCTTTGCTCGTGACACCTCCCTACCAAAAAAAAAAGAAAAATGCCATTAACGGCAGTTTTCTTAAAAAAAAAAGAAAAGAAATTGTTTTCGCGTCCTTCAGTTACTTATTCTCGGACCTCGGTGGACTCAGGTGCATGACTACGTCCACTGATCATTACTACAGGGTTGGTTTTTCCCCGTTCGTAATAGGGTTTGATTCTATCCGTGGCATATTCGCCTCTGTTTACTATAGTCAGGTGTTTTTCACGGCGATGTTTAGATTACTGGTCCTTTCAAATGGATCATGAAACCGAGCCATGTTAGATGGACACATTAATCATGTTCGGAAACGGAAACATAATCTAAAAAGACTCCCCAAGCTAGATCTTCCTGTAACCAGTCCTTTTTCAATACATGTAATGGACCCTGGACTGAATGTCCAAATATTAGTACAAAAAGGCTAAAGTCCAGAGTCACTTGAGTAGACTCTAGGGTAACGAACATTAAGAATGCAATACCCACGTCCCAATCATGTTCGTGGTACAGGCAATATGTTCGTATCATATTCTTAAGGGTGAAATGAAAACCTTCCAATGCTTCTTGGAATTGGGGATAGTAGGCATTGGACTGAAGGGACTGTATACTTAGAATTTTCATGAATAATTCTGACATGAAATTAGGCACCTTGTGTAAACCAATCATGGCAAAAAAACTAACAAGTGTTTTCGCTGGCTTTACTACTGCCTGACAAGCGTGGCGAGTCCGACAGGATTCAGACACATCTGTCCGGATCCCCGGCCGATAAAAATGTTTGCTAATCTTAACGTGTGTAATGTTAAGGTGACTCCCCAGTGGGGTCTCATGAGCCGTTCTCATTACCTCCGGTCTGTACCGTTTAGGAGTACTACTTGGTGGACTGTCGACCAGTCTTCTGAGGCGGAGATGTGCGGGGTCTCCACTTCCTCATTAGTACCTCATTCTTAATAAAGTATCCAGTTGGAACTTTCTCCAACTCATCCTCGGGCAATACGTGACGGAAGAGTGGGGTGAGCTCAGAATCACTCCCTGCTCTGTTATAAGTGCTCTCCTCGATAATGGAATGTCCATAGCGGGCTCAACAATACCATCGCTATTTCCAGTTGGGTTACTATTGGGAGGATAATTTAATCCCATATCAGGATTTATAAACGTCTGTGATAGGTCTATCACTTCGTCCTCTGTCCTATCGATTATCTCGTTTGTCTTTTCATCGGCCTTCTTTCTGGCCTGTGCTCTGGTCACTGCACATGAGGGAAATATATCGAGATTATCTTCCTCGATATCTTCGGTGTCTACCGAAGCAACCGGTTCCGGAACTACTTTGGGGTGGGGTATCACCCTACCACCCGCCAATTCGTTTCCTAACAGCATGGATATGCCTTTCATAGGCAGACTAGGAACTACTCCGACCTCGACAGGGCCAGAAACTAACCCAGACGTAAGGTGGATTCGATGAAGGGGGACGCTAACAAAGCTGCTGCTAACACCCTGTATGATAACAGATTCGCCAGTGGCGAATCCGATCCACATGGCACGGAGCTCTCACAATCAGGGACTGAGTCGCCCCAGTGTCCCGCAAAGATCTTCACGGATTTTTTTTCTTCGTGGGGTTATCAGCGGGGAACAGGACCATTAGAAACAAATGGCCTATCTCCTCCCTCACATCTTCATCATTGGGTTTCCCTATTCATGGTAACGCTGTCGGAAGAAATTAGCCCTTGGAGTCTGTCTCGACTTAGGGCTCTGGACTCGGCACTCCGCTTCGTCCAACAATTCGACACGAGGTGTCCTACTTTATTGCAGTAGTGGCACATTGGGAGTTTTCTCTCTCTCCTATTCGTCTGCCGATAAACCGGTGAGTGAGAGCCAGGACTTTGAGATTTGGTATCTCTCAGACTGGGTAGTTGGCCTGGACTAACCGATCGACCAAACTTCGAATTCGGGCCAGAACCAGACCCACGTCTTGAGTGTGGACCGCTTCCAAATTCGGATGGGTTGCTATGACTGAATGTACCCCGCTTGTGCGTTAACGCGTATTCGTCAGCGAGGGTGGCCATCTCATATAAAGTATCTACCCTTTTTTCATCGAGGTAGGTTTTTAAATTATTAGGAACACATTCTTTGAACTCCTCTATCAGGATCATTTGCCTTAGCCTATCGTGATCTGCCTCGATGTTTTTCGATAAACTCCATCTATCGAAATAGGTTTCTTTTTGTCTAGAAAATTCTACGTAAGTCTGTTTGTCTCCCTTTCGGCAGGCTCTAAATTTTTGCCGGTATGCCTCCGGCACAAGCTCATACGACTTTAAAATGGCCGATTTCACAATGCTATATTCAGCGCAATCTGCTACTGAGAGCGCGGCATACGCTTCTTGAGCTTTGCCTTTTAATGCGGTCTGCAGTAAAATTGGCCACGTTTCTATGGGCCATGCTAGGTTTGAGGCGACCTTTTGAAATGCTGAAAATATTTGTCGACGTCAGCCTCGTTAAACTTCTTGATGCAGTCGGACTTGCCCTAAGTCGAACTCCACTACTTCTAACCATTGAAGTTCCGCTTTTTCGTCTAACTCCGAAATCAGGGTTTCTTGCTCGATTCTAGCTTTTATGATTTCAGCCTTTGCTCTTTCAGCTTGGCTCTGACCTTAGCCTCGGCCTCAATTTTCAAAGTTCTGACGTGTCTAGTGATAATTTACTTAATTCTTCTACGTCGAAGACGTCATTATCTACCATATGTTCAGAGACTATCCTAACTAGCTGAGTTTTCCTCATAGACTTCATTACCTCTAGTTCTAATTCCTTCCCTATTTCAACTATCTCATCCTTCTTAAGCTTACATAATTTATCCATAGAGGGTGATGCTAGGAAGCTATCTATAACCGACATCTTGGCCTGTAGTTCGCCGATACCCTGAAGCTGTGCGATTCTTACTGAGCGAAAAAACAGAGAAAAGATTCTCGGAACGAGCCCCCAATTTTATATGTTACGAACTTGTAGCATATAGATGAACCACGGGTTCTAAAAAAAAAAGGAAAACGTGGTTTCTTTTCTCGGTCTTCACTCAGAAATGGAAGCGACACAAGGGAATCAACGAAGAACAGACACAAGACGATGGATTTCAAAACAAAACATTTATTTATAAATATATATAACGAAATAAAGAAAGAAAGAAAGAAAAAAAAGAACATTCATTTAACAAAGGGGGAGGACATCATTAAAGAATAGAAGGCACGAGCGAATACATACATATATGAAAACAGATCAAGCCAAAAGAACCAACTTATCTTGCAGTCGGGTTGATATCTTCACATAAAGTTTTGATTCGCCGAAGCGAGAGTTCTGATGATAAAACAGTATCTTGGCCGGCCGACAATATTCCTGGATTCTTCTTCTTTTCGCGAGTGTTCGTGGGTCCCCAGCATTTCATACAGGCATTTGGTTGGTTTGTCAGTCCATAGCAGCCCTTTCACTCCCAGTCGACAGACTTTTTGCTGTTTTCCTCATCTCAGTGGGCGGTCTGACGATTTTTGCCCAGCGACGTTCAACTGCCGCTGGTCAGAGGGAAACTGAAGAATCCTTTTTTTGGTTTTCGCTGTCCCCAAAGACAGTCACGTGGGTTCCCTTCGTCCTTGACCGGGTACGCAGGAGGATAGGGCACAAAATCACGCATTGCTTGTGTGATGGCCAAAAGTTCAACACATTCTCCGTACATCCCGATCACATGAATCGCAGCAGGGAGACCCTGATAGTGCCTGGAATTCACTCATGGTCAAACGCGAAATCTTGGAACCAGGTCATCCTCGCGTCGGGTCACTTCAAAGTTTACGGGCCCTTGGCTCGTGGGTGGGAGAGTAGAGAAAGAAAGAATTTGGGAAAAGAAAGGAAGGATATGGCTGATCATAGAATATATTCGCTCGCGAGTCGGAAGCATTGGATTAAATTTCTGTTTTTATTTATTTATTTATCTTTCTTTTATATCTAACTAGTTTTCTCTTTATTTAACATTTTACTTTAGCCTAACGCGTATATGGTTAATGAAATCTTTGCTACGTGACAATATATATATATATATATATATATATATATATATATATATATATATAATAAAAACAGTTATTTACTGATTTAAATATGATTGTAGTTTTTGTATTCTACATCAATCAATTACTCCATTGCTAAAAATATGAATGTTCTAAATTAAATACTGAGTTTATTTCTTAATTGATGATCCTAAGAATACTACAGAATAGGAATTATTTGAAAGGTTTTTTATAAACTGTATATTTTATGCCCACTTATCTGTGGGCATAAAAGATAGAAGTGGTCTTTAAATACAAAAGTGTTTTTTGACATTAGGATTCAGAAGAAATAAAGTTGAACATCAATTTTGTGGCAAAAATTTCTGCTTTTTCAAAATATAAAAGACATAGATTTTTTTAGTCACTGTGTATACTTTGTTGTTATACACTCTCTTGTGTGTACTTTATATCCATATAATCATTAAACCTTACTTTTATCATTCCACATTTCTATGTACTTTTTTTTAACTCTTCCTTTTAAATATTTCGCTAATTATGAACTCTCTTCAAATATTTGACTTTTATCGATTTGTATCAAATATCTTCTTTCAATTTCTCCCAGACATTTTTTTAATACTTAAATGGTTTAAAATGAAAATTCACCAATATAAAACACTACTTATAAATGTATTGAATAGAATGTAATTGTAATGATTCATTATATTGTCAATATATAAGAAAATAAATAAGTTTGTTTCTCTCCTCCTCTTCTCATAGGTGTGTGCTTGAAATGTTGGAAGAAAACTTGGTGTCAACATTTGGAAATAAAGAAAAATCTGAGGAGAAAAAAGAAGGTGAGAAAGAAGCACAAGAGGAAGAGGATGACAAATCAAGTTCACCCCAAACAGTAAAACTCCTTAACTTACTTGGACATTTCTTGTCACAACCATCCATGAAAGCAGCCATTTTGTGTCAACTGAGATCAAGGTGATTTTTCAGTTTATTTTTGGAATCCATGTACTGTCATTCTGCATGTAGCTATCTCACCTGTTAATTGAAGGAATGAAAGGTACTAAATGAATTCAAAGTGAAAAGGTTTCAAAGTGTAGACTATGTCCATACCATTTGTTATTGAAGAACAGGTGACATGACAATGCAGAAAGTTATTGGTTAAAGCAGAGGAAGACAGTTTGTCACTTATGTAAAATAAAAAAACATTTATAAATATATGTATAAATAAGTTGAAGGAAACAACTTATTTGATGTTTACCCTTTAAAATATTTACTGCTTGTTACATATTTTTTAATTGCTCAGTTGTTTGTTGTAGTTGAGCCATTTCTGATTTTGTTACAACATTCTTTCCATGCTGTTAAAGTTCAGCATTTCTGTTTTTTTCATGGTTAGTTTTTCCAATTCTTCCAGTTCTTCAGTTGATGACTTTAAGAAATTGCATGCATAGAGACAAAAAAAAATCAACACCCTATGTAGCAAGTAGAAATATGTTGGATGGCCAGATCTAATAGAAAATCTATCGGATATAAAGCTATCCAATACCAAAAGGGAAGCCCTCAGCTTTGGTTTGAAATTTACCACTGGGATTCATAAAGGAGATCTAGTAGACATACTAATAAAAATCATAAACAAAATGATACTGAATTTACCAAAGGTTTTATTCAAGGCATAATCAGTTCTACTATTGAAACCAACAACAAAAATTCATTGCCACAGAGACACCTAATTGTACTAAGGAGCCTAGCAAAAAATAAGGGTATCTACATCACTCCCTCTGACAAGGAAGGTGGGATTGTGATCAGGAACAAAAATACATATGTAGAAAAAAAATGAATTCACTACTCAACCATACAGACACATAGGAAAAAATAAATGGGCAGAAAATAAGTACTGAAACATAAAAATTTAACAAGAAGATTAGGAAACTAATTAAAAAACAAATCATGGTATAGATTAATCGAATATCACCCTAGAATACCAAACGTTTATGATTTCCCTAAAACCCACAAAACTGGTATCCCAATGTACCATAACAAACATTCTAACCCTTCTTGGAAAAATCAGCTCATCTCATAAAGAACTCAGGCAGCCTAGTTAAAAAAAACTAAGGGAAGTAAACAACTCATGGCCAGTCTAGATATAAAATCTCTTTACATTTTATGCCAATGTCCCAGTTGAAAAATGCCTTAATCTCTTAAAAAAGCATCTAACACAAAGTTAAACCTCTCCCTATCAATAGCTAAAATAATAAAAAAATTTCCATCTCATCACCAATCAATGCTATTTCACATTTAATATTGATTTTTACAAACAAAAATTTGGATTACAAATGGGATTGTCTCTTAGTAGAGTGATGGTATGTATTTTCTTAGAATTTCTCGAATCTGGACCCTTCCAAAATAATTTAACCAAACAGTCAACACATTTCCCATATATTGATGAGGTTCTATTAATATATCCACATGATGCTGATTTACCTGACCTTGTAGATAAACTAAACAATGTCGAACATACAATAGAATTTACATACAAAATGGAAGAATAAAATTCTTTGTCTTTCCTAGATATCAAGCTACACCTTGTTAACAACAATTTAAAACTTGGTATCCACCAGAAATCAACCAACAAAAACGATCTAATAAATTTCTATTCACATCATAACAAAATAAAATTTGGTATAATTATCAGATTCTACTTAAGAGCACTTGGAATTTGCAGCCCTCAATATTTACATGAAGAGGGGAAATGCATTGAAAATACTTTCAAGCTTCTTCAGTATCCTAATTATTTTATATTCAGTGCAAAACAAAAGGTTCATAAAATATTCCAAAATAGAAAACAGCCCCTCCTAACAAACCCAATGAATCAAAAAATATATTGCCCTACCAACTAACTTTATCATGCCTACAATTGAAAAGAACTTATATAAACCCAACATAAAATTTGTTACTACTACATCTGAAACAATAAGACTTAGTCAGTACTAAACAAAACATTTTTCTTTATCACCTGTAATAATTGTCATAAAAAAAAACACAGAAGAAACCTCAAGGAATCTAAAAAGATTATATGGTGATTTTCTCAGTGTAGCTTAGATGTGGCACAAGGCTGAAAGTATGGGGCATCCAGTGAGGAGTGAACACCCTATTCAGTTGTAATTGATCTAGTGAGACACACTTCCTAACTATTACACAATGACAAAGTGCCCTAAATAAAAGATTATATGAGCATAAAAGGGACATTTTACAAAAAAAACAATACATTAAATGCATTTCTCTGATTGCATATTAAAATCAGTTTATTTTTTACTGATGAATTTTATTGAAGCAGTATTGTATGTTTTCACCTTCCATAAATAAAAACATTCCCAGCCTCACAGTCATTGCACTTCAAAATGTGTTTAATTTTTGTTCAAAAATTGTTTGAGGATTCACACAAGAATCTAAATTCACAGCCCCAAAATATTTTTTATTGTAGCTCATTATAAATCACCAAATAAATGCTACATTTTCTTGCCCATAAGATGTGCACCTTTCTTTTTTTTTCTTTAAACAGTCCAGTATTATGTTTAGAAGTCTGGTACTTGGTAAGCATACAGCAAAGTACATTTCAAAGTCATATTATTGTTACAGTAATAGAGATGTGACTAAAATCAAAGTGCTATCAAAATTACAGTATAATTGTTGAAGATGTAAAATAATGACCAATGTGAGTCCAGGAGATTTCACTGTACCTCCTTGATAGCAAACTTACAACTGATATCAAAACATATTACAATCACAATTGTAATTTATTAAAGAAGTAACATCTACTTTAGAACAAATGTTAAAGAAATTTTAACCACTAAATTGTGTATACTTATTCTACCTGATGTTCTTACCTGAATAAATCATTTTGAAATAATATTCAATATATGTATAAAGACATTTATTTAAAATGTCTTTTCCAGAAAATACTCTAAAACAAATGACTGTTTACTAAGCAGGACAAGCATGAAGACTAAGCTATCAACACAATCCAGGCTAGCTTGTTAACCATTGCTCTTAATCAGATATCCAAAACTAAAATGTCTATTATTTAAGTACAGTAAATACAGCCCATATTATGTTTCCTCTCTTGATAATAGTTTCTCTCCCTTCTTGTTTTGTATATGGTTTCAGTATAAAAGCAGAAGATAAAACACAAGACCTTCTCACTTTGCTTGTCCAATTCCTCAATGTTCAGTCTGAAAAATCTGCTCAACGTATTCAGGAACAAGAGCAAATTATGGTGAGTTTCTTACATGGCTTCCATTCTAGGAAAGTAAAATTTGAATCTTTATGAAAATACTCTTGTCAAGAAGCAAAATTATCATATGCAATGAATTTTGTCTTTATTTCAGATGCAAAATCTTTTTTCAAGTAAGATCAAAATTAATGACATAAACAAGTCTTGTTAATTTCATTAGAAGACAAAATGTAACACAAGTTCCTGATAACACATTGTGTCGACTTCTCTAATCTTTTTTTTTTATTTCATTATCCTTGCCTAATGGATAGTTTCATCCTAAATGGATGTTCAGCAGCAAAATAATATTGTGATCAGTTCTCTTGTTTTAAAAAAGGAAGATTTCAGATGATTGTTTTAATAATTAGAAAAAAGTTAGTAACATTTCATGAAAATACCTCTTAGCTTTAAAAACCTTAAAAAGTGTCATCTCTATTGATCATGCAATCACCTTGCTATTGATTAGTGTTGAAAATATTGAATATTTTCAGAATTGCTTTTTGATCTGATATAAAACATTTTTTTTTTGTTTTTGTTTTTTTTAAAGGTAATGCTAGTCTGAGTATTTCCATTCCTGTTATTACATGTCTGCTCAATTTTTGTTCTTTTAGACAATCATTCAGAATTTATGTGATCCTGAAATCACTTTGGTACCAGCTGAATCTTCAATGTCATTTATGGAACAGGTATGTAACTAATAATGCTTTCTCTCCATGCTCAAATGTTCTAAGGGACTATTAATTACTTCCTGCAGTAAATGATACTAATTTAAGTTTGTGCGAGAATTAATTTTTTTTAAATTACTCTTGTTTTTCACAAAACCTTGTAAATTAATGCCATTTGTGTGCAACTAACTCTATTCATAAAAATGACTCTAGATTTTTAAAAGTTACAGAGAAATAAAATGTTTGCATTTTTATTTTTGAAAAAATATGAAAATCTATGTATCTTATTCAAACTGAGTCATCTCCGAAATGATTATTAATTTTGATGCTCTAATCTGCAATTATAATTTTGTGTGTGTGTATGCTCTATCAAGACTTATATGTTAGTCATACTTTTGGGAAAAGCTGGTATGCAAATGATTTCACATTATGTGTGACTCCACACATATTGGAATGAGGAAATTTGGTTCAGAATAAAATATTACTTAAATATGTTCTTCAGAGAAATTTAATGAGCAGAAACAGAAATGAATACAGATCTTCATTGTACAGATTGCTGAAAGATTTCATTATATCTACCTATATGTTAATGAACTTTTTTTATCAATTTTGAATTCACATATTTGCTCATTTCATTTTTTTGTAAATTCATGTGTCTGTTTTTTTTGTATTTTGTTATATTCAACTTCCCTACCTATTGTATTACAGTTGTCAGCTGCAGTTCCAGTAAGCGAACATTTGAACCTTATTATAGCAGGCATCTTAAAACATATTGGTAATATTGAGAGCAGCTTTACAACAATTCTCCCTTCTATACGTACATTGGCTCTTCTCTGTGAACATGACTTTGGTTTCTTTCATGTTAAAAAGTAAGTATGTTTTCTTTTTATCTGTGTCATTATACATTGCATTTCTATATGATTTTCAGTATCCCACTGATATGTTTACAATATAAGAAAAGGCAAAATTAGAAAAATATGTTAAATCAGCTTGAAAACAAGAAGTATGGAAGCAAATGAGTGAAACTATTTCTTTGAAATTAAGATGAAGTTGGAATACAAGAGCTAAGAAAATGTGTATTTATGAATTAGATATTAAATTCTGATCTGTATTATTCTTGTCTATAGACTGACAGTTTCAGTCACGGAATTGAAAAGCAACTAAAATTAAGATGAAAGAAATACCAGTCAAAAATTGATGATGGTAGACTTCATTAATCACATCATTTAAAAAAAAAATTCCATTAATGATATAAGATTATATATCTCCACTAATTTGGTATAAAGGTTTGATGCCTAAGGTATTTTTAAAAATGAAAACGTATTCTTGAAGATTTCTTTTTAGCTTTAATTGAAAACTAAAGAATTAAATTCACTATTTCCAGTAAGTAAAATACTCTGGTGTATTTCAAATAGAAATTATATAAATTGGAATGTCAAATATTTGCTCAATTTCAAAAAATCTGTTTACTGGTGGCCATTTCTTACATTTTAACAAGTTTTAAAATGAAATTTAATTATCGATTTTAAAAATCTTCCAAAAATAAAATATATATTTGTGACACGTTATTTGAGTAAAATTAGCAAATTTAAAGTTAAATTAATCTGATTTGAAACAAATATTACTCATAGCATAAAAAAATATAGTATACAAACATTTCTTAATGATGGGCCCTGTTCTTCTCGTGTCTTTATTGATGTTATTGATAAACTATGAGGTGTTGACAGCTAGTATCGGTGACCAGAATTGACATAACTTTATGAAATCTAAGTGAGTGCATTTTTTTTTTTCTGTTTTTAACAACTTTTGTGATGTCAACTAACACTCATCGTCACTTTCGTAATGCTCATTGTAGTAGTGACTTTGTAATTGCAGATACAACTATAGTAATGCCATAGAATAATACTGGTGTCAGACGTTTTCGAAATACACTTGCACTAATAGTACTTGCTTGATAATACTCGGTCAAAAAGTAACCACCGAATAGTAATCTGTGTAGTGATCAGTATAGTGAATAGCATAGAGGATAGTGTAGAAAGAGTGATCCGTATAGATGTCATGTTACTTCCTACTTATGTGTTCCTGATGGTCATGTGATTCACTTAATTCAATAATGGGATTGCCTGTGTTTGCTCACTGACGATCTGTGTTCAAACTCCAGTGTTGGTAGCAACACTTTATTCTTATATAACAAGTACGTAGTAATATTTACAAATTAATATATTTTCAATATATCTAATATATCTTATCTAATATTTTATTGACTTTTAGTTACACTTGAAGATACTTTATGAAAAAATAAAATTTAAAATATTATAAAATTTTCTTAGATTAATTTTAACATTTAATAACTGAGACGAAATGCCATGATAGAGGTAACTCAATAATTTATGACCCACACTAAAATAAATACATAAAATATTTTGTGAAATAGAAATTAAAAAACATAAAACTTACTTTAAATTTTAAAGTTTTAAAACTGAAGGGATGATGTTCAAAACTTGTTGAAATGTAAGCAATGAATAACAAATTGGAGACAAGCAAATTTCTTTGTAACAAGTGGACAACTCTTAGAACCCATGACCTTTTCATAATAATTAATGTTACATATAGATGAAAAATGGGAATGCTTAAAGTAAAAAAAAATAATAAATAAATTTGAATTAAAAATATTGGTGCAAAATGACTTATATTAAGCTTTTCAATTTTTGATTTGTAAATATAGTTTCTACTTAATTACAATATCACCTAAAAGAAATACAGTGTGGAAGATTTTTAAACGATTTTTAAATTATGATAAATTATTATAATTAAAATTTAAAAAAAATGAAAAAATTCTTGTAAAAATTCATTATTCATTGAAATTTTATTTTTTTAAAGATAATGTCCTAAATATAACTCATTTACAAAAGTAAATAAAATGTTTTGTAATTAAATAATGTCATAGTTTTATTACATTTTTTTAGTTTACCATTCAGATCAGATTTTCAGAAAATGAGCAAAAGTTTGAAAAAAAATTGGAGATTTACATTCTTCAAGGAGTCCTACTTTTAACTAGTAAAAAAAAAAGTTTGGACATACAATTTAATTTTCCAAAATTTCATGAAATCAATTAAGTGGGGTGTAACATATGAAAAAAAGAAATATATGTATATATATTTCTTACCAAGATTTTCTAAAACAAAAAAATTAAAAAATAATTTCGTTCATTTGTAAATGAGTTCTGAAAGATTCATTAAAATCCAACAATTATCTGATTTTTGCAAGAATTTCCAAATCGGTGTTTTTCACCAGAGAAAAGTGCAAAAACACTTCATTGTAAAAATTACTTACATCGCTGACATAAAAAAAACAGGATTTTTAATTAAAATTTGAACATGTTAGAACGGTTTAAACATTTTTTTTAAATAATTAAAAAATACTTTGGTCTTTCCTCTTAATAATAACAGAAACATTTTGGCAGTAAAACTTTGTTTTTACTAAGTTTTGGGCCTTTTTTTCATCATACTATGCTGTTTTTTAGTGAAAAGCAAACAGGCCTATATAAAACCATTATAAAAAATATTTACTTTTGGAGATAACAAATTATTGACTCATTTAACATAAATTTCTATCTACATATATGAATCTACTGTAGGCATTAAAAATAATTCCATGAAATAATTAATCTTGTAGGACCTGATAGAATCAGATGTTATTAAAAATAAAAATTAATTTTAGTTTTGAAGATAATCTTTTATAAAATGACAATTGATAGGAATGTTGTTATCTTGTCAAAAATATTTTCAAATCCCTGAAAAAATGTATTGGTAACTATACACTATTATATACAGATTTGATTATGAAAGTCAATAATTTCACCATAAAATTGGTATTAAACAATTGATGTTGGTAAAATTTATGTCTTTGAATTGTAATACTTGGTGAAAAACCTTTTATTTTTTTTTTTTATAAATTTTTTTCTATTTGCACAGTGGTCTAGAGAAACACAGTCAAGTGTTTTGCAAATTGTTGACTCATCTAAACAATACTTATACAAAAGACAATGCTGAATGCCTCCCAGTGCTCTCCTCTACCATTGAATTTCTGCGACTTCTCCTCACTCAATCTACTGATGATGATGGTGGCTTTGGACGTACATACACTCTTGGCATACATGAGCTGCGGAACGTTGTTTGTTGGGGGGTTGGAGATGAACATCATCCTCTCTATGACCTAGAGAAAGTGTTGGAGGTAAAGTTAGAATCCATATACAGGTTTTCAAAGAAATATTGTTTTGATGAGAAAATACTGTTTTTACTGTTTACTAGTTTTTTTAAAAAATTTTTTACTGTTTTTATTCACATATTTTTGTGTGTTTTCAGGAAAAGTGATGGTCTCAAATTTTGTTCATTTACCTTTGAACACAAATTAGAAGCTATATTATAGACTTAGTAAAAAAAAAAAAAAAAAAATAATGTATATGCAGGTAATTCATTGATAATCATTCACAGAAGGGGGGGAATCAGCGAGCCTAGTTCAAATTCTGACCTATTCTGTTGCATTCCTTTTTGCACTAAAGCTCTTGGTATGAATCTATCATTTCTCACTCTTTCCCTGCTATGGGTTAAACAGTAGGGTAGAATAGATTCTCTAGACTTGAGTGGCATCCAGTCTAGGAGTATTGTGAAGAAAGCAATGGAGGATTATTCTGTTATTTTCCCCATTAAGTCTGGTCTGGTGCTCCAGTTATATATTTAAAGATTCTTGATAATCTGCAATGTTATTGTTTCTGACCTGGCATCTTGACTTCAGCCTCTTTCCCACCACCATAACATAGCTTCCTTGTGCATTTTCTATAAATACTTCCATGGTAATTATTCTGATGAATTTTCCACTATGGTACCTAGATTTAAGCACAATAATATATTGGCAGTAAGGTCTCATCATTTTACAGTTGAAATGGCCGCTACATATAACCATATGTTCTATGTTAACAGTTTCTTCTATTACACTTCTTGCTTGTGGGGTTTTCTTCCTGCTTCTTGCTTCCCAGTCAACTTTGATCTTCAAAAATTTAAATGCAATGTCAATTGTTATCTTTTGTCTTCTTAATTCTTATTCTTTTATTGTCATCTCTCTTTAATAGTAGCTTTTCTCAAATTCTCTAACACTCAGTAGCTCCTTGAATCCTAGTGGCTTTATTGCCTTGTTTGGGGCGAATTGATTAAAAAAAGTCATAGCAATTTACATATAAAAAGGAAATGGAAACTATGAAGAACCATTAATTCCTATATCCTGAAGGGACGTGGCTTTAAAAAAAATACATATTTTATTTACATCGTTCAAGAGAAGTTAACTTTCTCAGTTCATGAATATAAGCAATTTTATTTAGCTGGGATCAGTTGAGATTTTCCTATATGGATAGCAGTTCAAATTAAAAGGAGGAAAATCAATAAAAATGTCATCAAATCCAGCTCAACATGAGTGGAAAAATGGAGATGGAAGTTCAATGGAACCTACTTGGAATATTTCGTGTTCATGAGGGGGAGGTGGGCTGCAGAACAATTTTTTTCAGTTTTGACAGACCTGCTTAAACTTTGTTTTTCATGATCACTGCATTGACAAATTACAATCACTTGTAAAGATAACTTACCTAATCACTTGACAAGACAACTTTAAATTGTGCTACAACACACCATTTTGAACTGAGTGATTAATAATTATTAGTATTTATTAGATATTGGTACTTTGGAGATTTGGTTATTTTGTGATGCGTTTTGAAATTGTTATTCATTATATTATTAATTTAAATAAATGATTTTATTGAATACATTATCTTCTGAATTTTTTTATTTTGTTGGTTTAACTTAAAAAACCTCTCTTTATAACAAATTCTTTTTCACCTTAGTGTAACAATCAGAACAAATGAAAATTCATTTTTCTGTACATTTTTTAATCTTAAATTTAATTTTAAATGAATTTATTTAAAATTAATGTTGGCAAGAAACATCTTCATAAAAAAAATGTAAGAACATTTTTTCTTTCTTCATTGAACTAAGAACTTTTCAGTATTTCCTTATGAGATATTTTAAGAGATCTCTAAGAGTAAGAATTTTTTTAGAAAGAATTTATTTTTTATATTTTCTATTTGTAATAAATGCTGAAAATTGTCTTTCTTCTAGGACTGTGCCAAAGACGATGAAACTTTGGATTCCTTGCTGGAGAGTTCCTCGGCTCTTATCCAAATGCTTGAGGACAATAAGTCAGAAAATATTGAAAATAAAGGTGAATTGTGTTATCTTGTTCACTTGTATTTTGTTTTCATAAATATAAATTTATTTTGGTGCTCCATGACTAGTAAAGCAACCAAATGTTCTATTGGATTTATCTAAGTACTCCAAGACAAAAACAAATCATATAACACTTCAAGAAGAATTCAAGATTATCAAAAATAACTACCCTGAATATGTACATTGATGGATCAAAAAGATGGAGACAGTGTGAAGTTTAATGGTTAAAGCAGGATTGTTTTTCTTTGCCACATTAAGAATAAAAGATGTGATGAGAGTTTTAAGCTCAAGTTGATTTTAAAAGGAAGAATAACATTAGTGAATAAAATGATGTAATAAATCTTGAGAAAAATCATACAAATTTTAGTTTAAATTTGGCATTTACTTGCCTTCCCATGGCGGCAGGATGTAACACAAGGTGAGTTTAATGTGGGGAAGCCACATTAAACCGTACATATGTGCCAAGCACAATAATTGCCCAGATTTTAGTTCAGATCATGTGCTGGATATGCTAAATCTCTGTATCCTCCCAGCTATCTTGATAAAATTGAATGTTTTGCACTTATTACAATGGTCATTAGCTATATGCCTTCAAATGAAGCTGATATTCTGATATAACTACTTAAAGAATCACTAATGACACATTATATCTATGTGTAAAACATCAAAGACAAACTGTTCATTTCTTTAACATTGACAATTTATATGTATATTTCTTATGATCCACACATATTGGAATTGCATGTATCTATTTGTATGAATATAAAATTACTTTTATAAAACAAATTTAAAGGAAATTTTGACACACAGGTAAAGTAAGTATTTAAATTGTAATGAAATATAATATGAGATTACCTCTGTAAAAAAACTAGCGATGATTTACGAGTGCTGTGCAACATTGAGAATTGTTTATATTCTGCACATGTATTTTTTTTGTTTCTTGTTGTGACCCATTTTATTTATCTTGCAACCCACTGAAGGGTCAGGACCCACAGTTTGAAAAACCATTATCTATAGTATTATGGCAGGTATTTTAGATTCAAGTTAAGATAAGTGAGTAGTTTTATTTTTTAAAATTTGTCTCATTGTCTCTCTTACATCAAGGGACACAAGCAAGAATAACACAGAATTTCCATGTTTTTTTTCCTGATATAACATATAAGTATTACAAAGAATTTTATTTCTATATTTCTGATTGCATTGTTTATTTTATAATATTACATTGTATTACATTTATTACATAATCCATATTATATAAATTCATTATTATAGAATTCATATTACATTTATTACATAATATTACATTATTTCATATTACATTGTTTATTTTATAATCTTAATAAAAGACAATTTACAAAGGATTAAAAAAAAATTTTATAATACAATTGTAACGTTTTGTATATTTTGTAGACTTGGTGGAGCCTATTTTACCTGAGAGTGAGACATTGAGTTTGTTATTCAATCAAAGAACTGTCTATGTTTTGACTGAATCTGATGATGAACGCTTAAGCACAGCTTTCTGGTTGTCTGTGGCAAATTTTGATGACAATGAAATAGAATTGGATGTTGTACGCTGTGATCTTCAGGAATTGGTTTCCAAATATTGCCCAGAATTTAATCTTGAAGAAGAACTTAAAAAGGGCACAGTTACAACATCATATGACGGTCCCCCTAAACCAAAGAGAGATAGGTAGGCCAGATTCTGATCTTTTCTATTTTTTTTTACCTTTACCACATTATCTTATTGAAACATTTATCCTTCATCTATTTTACTTCTTTTCTTAAAAGACAATACAAATTGTCTTGTGAATATATCTTTGCATCCGTGTGTGTGGGTATATATATATATATATATATATATATATATATATATATATTTAGTTGGATTGATGTGAGTTTGTGACCCTGGATTTATGCTCTCTGCAATTGTCAGTTTGTCTGATGATTGCAGAGAGCATGAAATCCAGGGTCACAAGCTCATATCAATCCAACTAAATATGCTAGCTCTATCACTGATATTGAGCACTTTCCAATAAGTACCATGCATATATAATATATAAATAATATATATAAAAATTGCATATATATATATATTTCAAAGTCCAACATAAGGATAAATTAGTCCTTACAGGTGATTTCAATGCTCGTGTTGGCAATGATGATTATCCTTCTTGGAAGGCTGTTTTAGGTCACCATGGTATTGGTCATGTGAATTCTAATGGATTACGCCTTCTACCAGCAACCCAGCTGTCGTAAGACCACGTGGATGCATCCTCATTTGAAAGACTGGCATCTGATCGACTATGTCATCACCAAAAGATGGGACATAAAAGATTTTATGATAATGCGTTCATTTCACACAACATGCTATCTGTCAGATCACGTTCTACTTCAAAGTAAAGCTACAATGCATCTGCAAAAGCGAAGGATTATAAAATATACAGTGCCCAAGCGCATTAACGTACTGCCTCTTAAATTGACTGAAGTGAAAATAGAGCTCTGACAAACTTGATGCTGCACTCGATTCTGTAAATATTACCAATGATATCAAATCATCTTGGAAGGCTCTGCACATTCTGCATCCTTGGAGGTTCTTGGCCTCCCACATCGTCAACATCAAGACTGGTTTGATGACAATAAGACAAAAGTTCAGCAGCTTATAGATCAATTACATGCTTCTCATAAAGCATGGATTGAGGACAAGAACTTGTCTGATAAGAAAATCACTTACAAGAAGTGCAAAAGTCAGGTTCAACGAGCTCTCAGGGCCATAAAAGAGCATTGGTGGTCTGAAAAGGCCACTGAACTCCAAGAAGCTTCAGATAGAAAGGATCTAAAGGCTTTCTATGCTGGCCTCAAGAGCATTTTCAGTCCTCAGAAAAGTGGTGTTGCTCCTATCTCCACAGCAGATGGTGAAACTCTCTTGACGGATAAGTCAGACATTTTAATTCGCTGGAAAGAGCATTTTGAAACTGTGTTAAACACCACTTCGTGTGATGAAAAGAGACCTTTTTAGAAAGTTGAATATTAAGGTTTTATTCAACATAAAAAGCATACACTATTACCAGTTACATAGAAGATATGAACGGACGCCAGAGAGAGAAAGATAGAGGTGTCCCACAAAATCACGTGACGTGAACCAACGCGAAATCACGCAACAGTTTGTATGCAGATAAGTAGAAGGTATTAAATAATTAACTGAATGAATACAAAGAATTATAAGTATATCACAACACTCTCCGCTACATTTTATTGATACTTCGGGTTACGGATGATCTTTCGTCCTTGTCTTGATGATTTGGGAAGAAATCCCAGAGCATCCTTCTCTAAGTGCAACTGTTGCTGCTGTTCTATATCCCGAGACTTCGTTTCGCCAACTGAAGTGGAGGATTCCCTGTTTGTTGTGGTTTCTTGTTGGTCAGTAGACATTTCCAGTTCATTGTTATTTGATGGAGTAGAACTCGATAACTCAGTGATCAGTGAAGACAGGAGAATCCGAATCTACAAGCGATGGGTCAGTAACAGGAGTGGGGGCAAGGTCTTCTGTTGAGACTGTTGACTGACGGCCGTCAGGGAAACGAATTCTTGCAAAATTGGGAGTTGCTGATATTATTTCCTCTGGTTCCACTAGTGGGTCAGACTTGTGTTGACGGACAAACTTTCTTAGCAGCGCCGGACCTCCTTGCAACCATTCAGGTAGGGTGTATCCGGTACCCGACCTTCTCGGAAAATTGAACAATCTTTCATGTGGTGTTGTGTTAGTTGCTGTGCAAAGGAGAGATCGAATTGAGTGCAGAGCAATGTCGAGTACAGCTTGCCAATGACATTCATCCAGTTGCCTCGTCTTGAGTGCAAGTTTGATTGTTTTCCATATTGTTCCGTTTGCCCTCTCACATTGTCCGTTGCCTATTGGATGGTATGGTGTTGAGTGGGTAATTACAACGCCATGTTGCCAGAGAAACTCTTTCAGTTCAGATGATACGAACTGGCTCCCTCGGTCACTATGGATTGAATTTGGGCAGCCAAAGAAGGTAAAAAGATTTTGGAGACATTTTATTACAGTTCCTGTTGAGATGTCTTGACGAAAGGATAGCGCGAGTATTCATCTACGATGACGGGTAGATATTTAAAACTATTTGTTGATGGTTTTGGGCCCATGAAATCAATAGCAAGGCGTTCAAAAGGGGATCAAGAATGGATTAAGTGACCAGGGGAAGGTCTGAAAAACCTTGGTTTTAGTTCAGCACATATTTGGCATTCAGCACAGATATGTTGAACATCTTCCATAGAGAAAGGCAGATTCTTTTGTTTAACAAAATGATACAGTCTCGCTACTCCTGGATGACAGAGTGCTGCGTGAAGATCTTTTAGTGATAATGAACATGAAGCAGAGCATGAACAGGAAAGAATATCTGCAGAGCTTTTAAGTGAACCGGGTCGGTATACAATATCATAAGAGTAGTTAGAAAGTTCAAGTCTCCAACGAAGTAGCTTATAGTTTTTAATACGGTTTGGTGTCCGCGTGTTGAACATATATGAGGCGGCCTGTTGGTCTGTAATGATAGTAAAATATCGTCCGAGTAAAAGATCACGCCATTTACAAACAGATTCTACAATGGCTGCCGATTCACGCTCCACTGCTGAGTGTCGACGCTCAGATTGCGTAAGAGTTCTAGAAAAATATGCTACTGGGTGTCTATTCTGAGAGAGGCAGGCCACCAATGCCGTCGCAGATGCATCCATTTCTATTGTGAATGGAACTTCATCCTCAATGGCCGCAACCGAAGCCTTGCAAATTTCATCTTTTATTGCCTGAAATTGACTCTTGAGTTCTTCGGCAATACGAAATGAGGAGATATTTAGCAAAGGTGAAATGCGGTCAGAGAAATTCTCCACCCATAGTGAGTAGTATGAGAAGAGACCCAGAGCTCGTTTGAGTGACTTACCACAGTTCGGAGTCGGTAGTTCTTTGAGTGGTGTAAGTCTGTCTGGGTCAGGACTGATTGTTCCTTTCTCCAACAGGTGCCCTAGAAACTTAAGTTTGGTGATGCCATACTCACATTTCATAAATAACTAACTGAATGAATACAAAGAATTATAAGTATATCACAACACTTCTATTACTGATAAGGAAGCCATCACATCAATTGAAAATTCGGAGTTGTCTTTTGAACCTACTTATCAAGAGGTAATTGACTCCATCAAGCAAATCTCATCTGGAAAATCACCTAGTCCTAAGGATCCTATTCCACCTGAAGTCTATAAGCATGGTGGCCAAAAGTTGGTAAAAAAGTTACATCTCCTTTTTGTGGAGATATAGAAGGCAGGCTGTGTCCCACAGGATTATAAAGACGCCTCTATCAAACACCTCTACAAAAACAAGGGTTCCAGGTATGTCTGTGATAATTATCGGGGGATATCACTCCTTTCAATTGCAAGCAAAATCCTAGCAAGACTGATTATAAACAGAATCATTATACACCTTGTTGACGACATCTATTCTGAATTGCAGTGTGGTTTTTGGTCAGGTCAGGACACCATTGACATGATATTTTCTCTTTGTCAAGTTGCAGAGAAGATTTGCGAGAAATACCAGGAGTTATACATGGTGTTTGTGGACTTGACAGAGGCCTTTGACACTGTGAATTGAGAGGCTCTTTGGCAAGTCTTGAGGAAACTCGGCATCCCTGAAAACATGCTAAAGGTCATCATCTCCTTTCATGAAGGAATGAAAGCTAATATCGTGTCTGATGGTATGATGTCGGAATCCTTTAATGTCACAAATGGCACCAAGCAAGGTTGTGTCATGGTCCCTGTCCTTTTTGCTCTTTTCTTCTCGGTGATGCTGAAATATGCATTTGCAGACACAGAGAGTAGCGTCAAGTTTCAGTTTCGAACAACTGGTGGTCTCTTCAATCATCAGCACTTCAAAGGCAAGACCCACCTTCTTATGCATATTATTCGTGATTTGTTGTTTGCTGATGATGCGGCTCTTGTAGCGACATCCTTTGAGGAGACCCAACATCTAATAAATCATTTCTCTGCTGCATGTAAAGCATTTGGTCTTACACTTAGCATAAAGAAAACTGAAGTTGTGCACCAACCTTGTCCTACTCCAAAGCAATTTCATGGTGAGAAACAAAAACCACTAATTTACAAATTTCCAGAGAGACCATTGAAAGTAGAAGACAAACCCATGAACTATGTAAAGTCTTTCACCTATCTTGGTAGCAAAGTCAATTATAGTGGAACTTTAGATGATGAAATCATGCATTGGATTGCTAAGGCTACCAGTGCTTTTGGCAAACTTCGCCATCGCTTGTGGAATGAGCGGGGTATTTAACTGGATATGAAAATTTGGGTTTACAGAGCTGTTGTACTTGCCATCCTTTTGTATGGCTCAGAGTCATGGACGCCATACAGGTATCATATACACCAGCTACATGTTTTCCATAAAAGCTGTCTGTGTACAATCTGTGGAGTTAAGCTTCCAGATAGGACATCTAATGTAGACCTGTTTAACAGGTGTAATATTGGAGGAATTGAGACTTTTATCATACAGTCTCAGTTACGGTGGACTGGTCATGTCTTGAGAATGTCTGATGACAAGATACCCAAGATCCTAATGTACAGCCAGTTAGATCAGGGCTACAGGAATGTAGGACACCCATGGCTAAGATACAAAGACAA